CAGTACCAGGCAGTCTGAAGACTCCCAATCCACTCTCTAAACGCTGGGAGGAGTGAGGAAGCAGACAGGCACCCTTTTCACTGGCCAACAGTTAACTGAAAGTTCAAATTTTGCACTTTCCCTGCCTCCCACGTGGTTTTTTTTCAGTTCTTAACTCAAATCTAAGTACTTACTAAGTCAAGTCAATATTTTCCTATGAGAGTGGTTCTTAAGTCAAAATGTTCTTAACTCGAGCCTTTCGTAAGTCAATACCCCACTGTACAAAAGTTCCCTGACCCCTGGATTAGATGTTTTTGAACTGCAACTCCCAGAAACCCAGCCAGCACAGTTAGTGGTGAAGGCTTCTGGGAGTTGCAGTCCAAAACTCCTGAGTAACCCATGATTAAGAACCAGTGGATTAGATCACCACTCTGTGCAGTGGTGCTAATTTTGAGATTTCTATGCCCTTTTTTGTTGCATTTCAGAATGTAGTACAGTATCTGAGTATGTACTTACTCCAGCTCTTAGAACAGTTGTTCCCAACCTTGGATCCCCAGACGTTCTTGGACTGCAATTCCCAGAGGCCTTTACCAGGATTTCTGGGAGTTGTAGTCCAAAAGAATCTGGGGAGCCAAGATTGGGAACCACTATCTTAGAATGTTGTTTTTGCCCATATAATAGTAGAGAGACTGAGTATCAATACCACACACCCACTCCACCCTGAAGTGCAAAGAGCGCTGGAGAGATCCAACATGGCCCTTTTATTTTTCAGCTAATTACCATTTCAGGCATCAGTACTTCCTTTCAAAGTTTATTGTTTAAGAAATTACAATGGGTTCTAGCGATGAAGATATAATTGCTCAAACTGCATTTGGAGCAAAACTGCTTGGATTAATGAAATCACAACTTCATGCATTAGAGTTCAGCTTTCTTTTTCCCCCCCAAGACATTCTTCAGCTCCCATCATAACACAGTAGTATGCCCTGGCACGTGGTGTTGTAATTGCTGCAGAACAACTTTTAGGTTGAAATCAGTTGTGCTTGTACAATTCAGATCCATATATAAGATTTTATTGGAGAGTGAAGGTGAACACTTAACAGAAGAGTATGGGTTGTAAAACAGTATAGACTGAATTATTCACATTAGGAGAGGTTTGGTTTCTGAGATGGAAAATGATAATTGGCAAGAGCTACTAGAAATTATAGAATTCAGTCTTTTCTCTTTCAAAAAAAATCTGGGTTATTCTTATCAGCCCTTCCCTATGTGGAAAATTATAGATTTTAAATGTTCACAGAAGCATAGATTTACTCAAAGGTCCCTGTTGTCATCACGTCCAACAGCATGTAGTGGCAAAATTCCCTGGACCTGTCTTTTTGACAGATTTCTGAGATAGTTTCCAGTTTAAAATCCTTTTAGCAATCCAATTGTCCAGTTAATTCTTACATTTCTTATAATCGTGTTCTGTAGAGGCAATAACTGGGGGGAGGGCAAGAAAAGAATGGAGATAGTGTCTGGCAAGGTGGGCTTTTTGTTCAGCTTACTCTGAATTTCCCAGTAATGTCTAGAAAAATTAAGTCAAACTACTACGAGAGGCGTGTCTCTGCAAGTCCCACAATCAACGGACTGCAGTAGCTAGACAGGGTGAGACCTCACACCCCTTCTGTAATGCTGGAAATGTGCTTCTAATTATTGCGTACCATCCTTGTCCTGAAAACAGAACCAACCACAGGTCTCCGGAGTAATTTGGGTGGGATATGCTGATATCAGGTATGCTTTGATCTGGATGATATGTATTAACAGGATACTTCCTACTACCCTTACATGTTTTAGTCCATCTTTCCTCTAGGGATGGGCAATGTATAGTCCTCTGGATGTCGCAGTTGTTGAGACAACTTCCATCAGCTTTCAGTCAGCACAGCCAATGGAAAATAGATCTGGAAATTTTAGTCGAGGAACATCTGGAGAGCCAGATATTTTCCACCTTGTTCTAAACTTACTTGGTTCTGTGAGATGATCTAGGCCAAGAGTTATAACTGGTCTGAATCTGGGTTTTTCTCATCATCAACATCCAGCTCTCTTCTGAATATCACATTAGTTCTAGGATTGCTGTAGAGATATGCTCCTCGGTCTCAGCTGCTGGACGGACGGTTTGCCGCCCTGGAACAGCATAGCTGGTGTTTGCTCCACGGTCCTGGATGGCGCGAGACTATCCTGGGTCACATGACTAGTTTGGGTGAGGGAGTGTAGTTATTTAAGCAAGCAATCCCAATTGATTGCCCTCTTTCCTGTTTGGGCACCCACCTGCCCTCCCTATTTCTAGTATGATTTTTATGGTTGCCTTTTAGGGGCCGGATAGGAATTTTTGACCTTCATCCTGATTGCTTTTGGATGTGGGGATTTTTCGCCTATCCCACACTGAAGAAGGGTTGTTGGCATTTTTGGTGGTTGATTTGGTCACACTGGCGGGTAGTGCGGAAAAACAGGTAGCCTTGGTGTGTCCCGTTTGTAATTCAGGTAAGCCAACAGCGCATCCAAC